TATCAGTATGATCCATATGAGCAGATTGTAGCAAATTAGACACTCCCGTGTCAAATAATGAATGAAATATTTTGGAGCTTAACAACGGGATATGAAATGTTTCAGAGCATATCAATAACAAATGGAACATTTCGGAACATATCAATGGCATATGGAATATTTCAAAGCATATCAATGGCGTAGGAACATTTCAGAGGCATAAAGAGCATTTTGGAACATATCAATAGCGTAGGAAATATTTCATAGCATATCAACGGCATATGAACCATTCTAGAGCATATCAAAGACTGAATACGAAACAGAAGCTGAAACGTCGTATTTGACGTTGCATTCATATCTTTCTTATCCAAAGCGCATATGTAAATACATAACCAAAGCTCTGGATATCATATCAAACATATAAAAGATGTAGTGGGACCATAGACAGAATGTGATTCATCCATTTCTGAATGACCACCAGACAGAAGTCTCCCACGTCTGGGAGCTCCATCCACCCACGTCTAGATGAAGTCAGAGGGGGCCGGCAGAGCATCCAAGGCTCTATGCATAACTCAATTTACCATTTCTGGCAAAGATTCACAGTATCCTATAAATACCAGAGTACAAAAGGATAGTATAAATAATAAATAGCACATATCAGAAGCACACGTGGAATAACAAAACGTACATGTGCCTTTATGAGTCAATACGATGCAAGCATAATCTTTCACAAATGTATTCAGATTTGAAAGGAAATGAAAGCAAGAGCATTCAAGGATTCCAAGCAATCACATATAACTCAATTCAAATAAGAATGTTAGATAAATTCAATGTCCAAAGGAATGAAACTGGAATAGGCACATATCGAAAGTAAATGCGGAACAATGGGATATACATGTGCCTATATGAGTTAATATGATATAGCATAAACGTTATACAATAGTTTTCAAGAATGCAAATAATTTGAAGGACAAGAGCATATAAGAATTCAAAGCAATAATATAAAGCTCAATTGAATAAGAAGCTAAATGAAATCAATTTCCAAAGGAATGAAACAAGAATATACGAAATCGACCAAAGCTCGATTTCTTGCGGAATTCGAGAGGCACATTGAACAAATGATTCAAACTATCAATCATGCTCTAATATACTCAAGAAAGCTATTGTGAAAGATATTTCAATCTATTTTCAAATAAAATAAATTTTGTATGAATTGAAGTTTCCAACAAAGAGTTACAATAGATTTAGTAACCCAAGATCAAATAACAAATCTCAATTTCACAGGATTCACAAGGTCGGTTTCAATAGAAAATTGGGCAGGCATTTGAACTCTAAATCTTTCAATCTAGGTATCAAATGAAAGATCTATGAGTCTAGTTTAAAATGAAATAAGTTTAAAATAAATCAAAGTTTCCAAAAGGGACTTATAGGCAGTTCAGTAACAAAAGGTCAGAAATTATGATCCCTGTTTTGCAGAATTCATAGGCTCATTTGAAATAGAAGTTTGGACAGGAAAACTTACTCCAAATTCTTAAAATAAACTATCAAAATAAAGATTTATAAGTCTATATTCATATCAAATAAGTTTTGTCCAAATCAAAGGTTAGTGCATAAAGTTATAACCATAACAAGGTAGAAAGGTCAAAATCTCGAAAGTTTCACATATTCAAATCGTTATATCTAAACATGAGATATATCAAATGCAAGACTAGAACAATTCAAAGTTCCTCATATTCAAAGCAAATATAGAAATAAAATTATAATAAGAAAAGATCAAGACACTTGCAATAGAAAAGATTAGAAAGCTTGCAATAGGAAGGATCAGAACTCTTGCAATAGGAAGGATCGGAGCACTTGCAATAGGAAGGATCCGAGCACTTACAATAGGAAGGATCGAAACACTTGCAACAGGAAAGATCACATCACTTGTAATAGGAAGAATCAAAACACTTGCAGAAGAAAAGGTTTAGGACACTTGTAGGAGAAAAGATCGGGACACTTGCAATAGAAAGGATCGAAACATTTACAATAGAAAGGATCGAAACACTTGCCTTTCAAAGATTTTGATCCGAAGATCCGAAGAAGGTGTACGCCCGAATCCTTCTTCTATTTTTCCTCTGTCTCATCTCCCTATTTTTATTTTCTGCACCAATCTTCTTTCTTCCTCCACAACTACAGCTCGTGCAGAACATAGGGGCACATTCACCTGCTCTCCCTTACTCTCGTTCCTTCTTTTTTTCTTTTCCAAATGCAGCTGTCGTAGCCACCGCCACTGTCGTTGCCACAGTGGCAGCCCCTTCCACTGCACTGCCTTCTTCCTACTCTTCTTTTGCAGACATAGCTGCTGTAAACGCAGTAGCCGCTGCCGCCGCCGTAGCCGCAATCATAGTCGTAGCCCCTTTTTTTTCCCTTTCCTTTCTTTCTCATTCCCAAAAGCAGCTGCTGCAGCCACCACCGCTGCCGCAGCTTTCGCAGCCACCTTCCCCTCTTCCTCTTCTTCCCTCTCGTTCTTCTCTTTCAGCTGCAACTGCGACCAGCCTCTTCTTCCTCCCCTGCTCTTCTTCCTCTCCTTCTTCTCTTCTAGCTGCAGCTACCACCACCGTAGCTGCAGCCCCTTCTTCTTTCCCTTCTCTTCTTCTTCTCTTCTTCTCCTCTCCTTCCCTTCTCCTCCCCGACGCCACACACACCCTCTCCTTTGTTTCCTCCTACAGGAAACAGAGGTGTCACAACCTCTTCTCCCGCTTCTCCTTCTCTTCCTCTTCTTCTTCTTCTCC